TCATTCATTCATTCATTCATTCATTCATTCATTCATTCATTCATTCATTTATTTATTTATATGTTTGACTGACCTGATGTTTACCCATGGCATTTTAATATTTGTGCAAATTGAAAAAAATCTACCCCTTTTGTTGAACCTGAAAATCCCTCCGTAAAAATCAGAAACACTTTTCAAATGAGTGCAGTTGGTAAAAGGAGCTGCTTTCCAGAAGGAATTAAAATAATTTAATTTTAGCTATGGCGGGTGCTTCTCTTGCAGTGAATCTTCTACCGGTCTTTATATTTCCAACCTGGCTCCCTTAATCAGTTGATTACTTTTTAAGAGGATTTAATTGGTTTTTCACCTTTGTTTTCTTCTCTGTCTACAACTTCAGTAGGACGTCTTGTCTAAGAGGATATGCCATGGATGGATGGATGGATGGAAGGAGATGGGATGCATGACCATTTGAAAACATGTAGGACTGGCAACAACCAGTATAGCAGAAGTGGCAGTCACAACATTTGCACTTTGTTAAAAAAGAAAGAAAAAAGAAGAGGAGGAGAAAAATTGTCTGCATATAATACAGGTTTTTTTTAGTAATCTGAAGAAAAGACCACTGAAATTTGGAAAGAAAGCTGAACATCTACTTGTGATTTAAATCTTAAGGATTGCCTGGACTTGAAAAAATGTTTAATATACTGTACATAAAATGTAAATTACACAGTGATTTTCTGTTGGCTATAGGATAACTATTTGATTCCTGCCTGGTTTTTGTTTCCTTTGTTTCCTTTTTAAGAGGCACAGCAGATTCAGGAATGTCTTCCTGGACAGGAGTGTCTTCTAACACCACCCAACCTTTGTTAAATAATATCAGCTCTGCCTTCATTACATTCATTACAGAGATTGTTGGATGGTTCTTTATAAAATGTTGTAAATCACGGATGAGGAAATGATCTAAATATGTACTCTATGGCAGTGGTCCCCAATTCCAGTCCACGCATTGCTAACAATTTGCTGCCTGTCGGCAACTGGACTGTACATGTTGCTGGTGAATATGCCATTTGCACAAGCGGCAGACATGCACATGAAACCATCTCCTCCTCCTGCCGCTACCACTGATGGCAGTCTGCGGAGCCAGAAAGGTTGGGGATCGCTGATCTGGGGAATATTCAAGAAATGTAAAAGTGAGCAGTATGAAATTATAAATGGGGGTGTGGACTTCATGGCACTCCAGATATTGTTGGACTTTAATGTACATATGTTTAGGCAGCATATCTAATGTTTACAGGCAGCAAAAATGAGACAAAACCTCTACCCAGTTCAGGAATCCAAAATAAAGCAACTTCACAAAATAGCTGTCATAACCCTGGCTTGAGCTCATTTTATGCACACATCCCTGGATGTGTGCATAAGATACTTGGTTCCTTGAGTGAACTGGATATGAGTGAACGGTTCTTATTGATAGGAAGTTTTTTTCCCCCATTCAGAAGGAATTTCCCTTCAGTTCCCTATTCTGGAACAAGAGACGACTTTGGAATTTATTCTGTGTGAAGTGTTTCACATTGTGGTGTCTACCAGTTGACCATTGTGAGGACAGACTACTGGGGTCAGAGGTCCAGTCCAGCCAGAATCTCACTGCTTATATTCTTAATTTCTTGGTCCTGGCTGTTTTGGTATTTAGGGAAAGCAAGAGTGGGTTGCAACAATGACTTTTTTGGATTGTGGATCTTGAAAGTTTACTATACATAGGTGAAAGTTCGAAACTGGGCAAAAACATTTTCTTATTTTTTAAATCTGGGTTGAATCATTTCACAGATTTACTGTAAAATGAATTTTTGTCTCATGGTTCGCCAGCACCCCCTGCTGGCTTCTCTGATTTTTCACATACAATGAATGTGTCTTTAAAATCTTTGTTATTTTTCCTTTCTTTTGTTCACAACACTTATTCTGTATGCATTCAAATTACTTTGAATATGCAGTGTAAAAAGTCTACTTTGGCCATATGAATAAAGAACAATTTGTAAAGAATGTTGTTAAAAGAGTTTTTGTTCACTCAGATCTTCCTCTCTTATTGTTAGCAATGCCAGGAAATCAGAGACCATGCCAAATTCTTCTGTCACATTGTCTTA